ATCATTTCGTTCAAATGAAGTTCTGCGATTGCACGTTGCTCTGCTTTCAATATCGTTACGTTCGCACGAAGTCCGTACGTTTTCAAATCGTTCGTAACTTTTAGTCACGTTATTGAACGCCGGTTTTAAAGCTGTTACTGTCGCATTTATCGTCGCTTCGGTCACAATATTTATTTCACAGTTTCTGCTCGATATTCATTAAAATGCATGTTCCGTGCCTGGGAAATCGTCAATCGGATTAAAAGCGGAACACAGGCTTCAAATTCTGTAAATTATTGTCAAACGCGCGCTACGTGTTCGTTCCTGGGTTGAAAAAGCTGGACGTTTCATCTTCGAATATAAATAACAAAAAAAAAAAAAAAAAATTACTCGAGATTTGTTTGATTTCTTTCTTTCAATGTAAAATCTGGCTTATGATTTTATATTACGGGATTACAATATTATTCGATTGTATCTCGCGACTTTTTTTTTCTTTTCAACAATCTTTTCGACAATTTCACACATGGGACTCAATTTCATTAATGGGCAATCTCCGATATTGTTTTTTCAATTCGTTAGTTGTCTTCGAATTATTAACGTTCATATTATTTTAGTAATCTTTTTTGTAAATCGCACGATTTTGGTGGTCAATCAAATTGGTCACTCGATTTTTCATAACAAATTTCAGCAACCTGCACTTCACAGCCTCGTAATGGTAATTTCTTCGTATCCTCGCGACGAAATCAATTAAAAAACCGAACGAAGAGATCTCAAGATCGCTTTGCTGCCTCCACGTGTTCCGAGGGACGTGACGTTGAATTTGGATGGCCCTGTAGAGCCTCGGCGGCGTTCGTTAACCATTCTCGAGCATAAAAAATTGAGCTGTCCGTTGTTAGCTTTCTTTAACGAAGCGATCGTTAACGATTGCTATTCGTATTCTGTTGCTCGAGCCGGTTTTCGTGACGCAGGTTTTCGTGCCTCGTGATTCTTTAACGAGCCGCCACCGCCTCCTGTTCCTCTTGCGCTTTTCCCGGCCGGCTCTTCCCATCGTCCGCAATGAAATCGAAACGACGAATCGCGCGCACGGACCGCGGTCACCCCTTCGCCTACGAATCGCCTCGGTAAATTATTAACATCGCGTGCCGTCCAGTCGACTATCGATTCGTCCTGTCCCGCTCGTTCCTTCCTTTTCTTTTCCTTTTTTCTTTCCCTCTCTCTTCCTTTCTTTTCTCTTTTTTTCTTTCAATTTCCACGCGGCTTCCACTGTTCGCCGTAAAAATCGTCGGCTCGTGATCGATCGAGTCCAGTCCGTTCGTCGATCATTGAAATTTTTAACAGGCATTATTCCTATCTCATCTTTGCTGTCCAGTGGCCAACTATTTTTCCTTTGCATCGAATATTTTTTTGTATTACTCGTGGTTTGTTGTTTAGTAACTAGTAATCATCGTCACGTTGGATATTCATTTTTAACAAATGCGTGACAATTGTAACCGGACGTCGCCACTGTACGATATACAATGTAATAATGCGATAATAAAGATTAGAGTAGGAAAAGATAGAAAATGTTAAATTGGTCGAATTATATTGTGAAATTTTGTTAGTTATAACAATTGTAACCATAATATGAATAATATTTTTCTTTTACACAGAATAGTCACTATTGTTTCAGAAATTGCAAGGAGATTGTGTTTTTTCAACGAGAGAAATTCTATTCTTTTTAGTGGAAACATTTCTCTGCGGTGTCTAATATAATTACACCTAATCCGGTGTTAAAACAGGTTTTTTTTTTAGTTTATTATATTGTTTAATGTTAAAATGAATTGTTAAAATGCGATTAGTTCTCTGCCCTCTGAGTTTTACCGTTGGAAATGGTTTTATTTTGCTTAACATTAGTGAACTTCACCAAGCAACAGAGCAAAATCACGGTTATTTATATGAAATATTCCTCTCTCTACCGTGTAATATTCCAGATAATGAAACAGATAGATTTACGTCCCCATGAACGTTTTAAAAAATATCGCAGTAAATAAAAGTAATATAATGCAATATATGATACTTATACGTAAGCATAGTATTTCATTTTCAGTTGTTTATTTCATTATTATTTTTCATTCATTTATTGATATACAATATATAATGTTCTCACCTTCGTCATCTCATATGTATTGTATAATGTCTGGTCCGTAGTAAGAAACGCTATTTATAGCGCAGCGTCACATGTGCGTGATGCAGTACAAATGCCGTTTAGATCGTGTAATTAGCATATTTTGTATACATAAGTTTGGAGCACCCTGTCATTTTTGGATAAAATCATGTTTTCTCAGTAACTAAGATTATGTTATCAAAGACGCTGAGATTTATTTGTAAACGTTCGCAGCGTTTATCTCTTGAATATGAAACTGATAGGTGCTCCAAATTTTTGGAACGTGTCACGTGCGCGCAAAACTATGAAAATTTGACTCGAGCTGTGAAAACAAAACATAACTTTCTCTTAATTCTCTAGGGCACAGTAATAAAGAAAATGTTCCACTTTTTTCAAATTTAAACCTACATAACGCAAAAGAGTTTGTGTCCCAAAGAATTAACCACTTGCGCTGGCAACTGATTGCGGACCATAACGAATGACCAAACCGTATACAATATACGATTCGTCGCTTTCTTTTTGAACTCGTCGATACGATATCACTGGATAGAAATTATCGAGAAGTAAATAAATTTATCATTTGTTTTGTCTGTTTTGTTTTACTTAAAATATACTTAAAACTGCGAAAACATTACAATTTTGGAACAAAAGATTCTCGACGTGCGTGGCACGTGATTCCAGCGCAAGAGGTTAAATTGAAACTTATTTTATCATATTTTTTTTCTCTGTATGTAGGATCATTTTTTTATCTCAAGAATGTTAAACAATGACAGACGAACGTGCCCGAGTGTAAAGAGGACCTAGTTTCGTCTGGTGTGACGCTCGTCTCTCGGGAGTTTCATTATCTCTCAGCCAAAGGGAGCTAATTCCGCAAAGGCGGCGGGGAATTTCGTTTGGCAGCGACGGAGATCCGACGTGTCCCCCGATTGCCAGAATCGCGAGATTTTTCTAGTTTATCGCCGGTAATATGGTGCTCGCTGCTGTCGGAAGGAAGCAATTTCGAGGCCCTAATTGCGCCATGAATCTCAGCAACTCGGAGACTCGCACGCTTCAAAGATTCCACGGCACGTGGAAAGGAAATATCGTTTGCCCTGCTCGAACTAATAGCGTTGGCCACGATGTATATGTACATGCATGCGTACGTATATACGCTTCCGCGTTGAATCGAATTTGCCTTCTTCGAGCGGGTTTCTTTTCTCGCGTCGATTCTGTTTCTTTACTTGTCTCTGAGCTTCGCTTTTCGAATACGTTTGCTCTTCGTTTGCGAGTGAATCACGTGGAATGATTAATTACTGACTATTTATTGCGTGTGACGTAGCTATGAGTCTCTCACTTGAATGTTTGGAGCATGCGGACATTCATGCGAGACGACTTCGTTGAATATTTTTGTTTTTCCGTTAAATATTTACGAATGTAAATATTTCACTAGCGGTGTTATTTAAATTGGAATTAAACCTGGAATTAATTACATTTGCAGTTGCAGTGCTTTTCAGAAAGGCCGAACGAAAAAAAAAAAAAAAAAATTGAAGGTATTTCGAAGCGAGAGTGTGTATTTTTAAAATTGAACACGGAACGTAATATAATAATTATACGTGTGAAACATGTCCGATCATTCTTGTGTGCAGTTTCCAATATCCGAGAAATGAATTCTGCGAATCTTAAACAACCGTGGAACACGAGTAACGAAAGAGAGTGAAACGCTGATAAAGAGGAAATGTTAAACAAATTCTTCGCGACTTCGGTGATAAAAAGGAAACTGAATTCGACAGTCGTAAACAAATTGAGAAACGATTGCAAATAAAACGGCGCTTATTGGGTTGAAAACTGGGAGTGGACTCGCATGCACGTCGCACACGCGCGCGTAACTATAAAGCGAATCTGTTACGTGCGACTTTGTTCAAGGTTGACGAACGCGAAACAAATTCAGGAGATAGCGTACGGTTGTTTAATCGCGAACGTGCCCGAGTTACATCGGTTTCCCATGCTCTCCACGTCATTAAACCGACCGAACCGATTTAACGGACAATGAATTATATGGCGTTTCAACCCTTCCTCCCTCCCTCCACCCCGCAAACAAACGGTTACGCGAATACGAAGCATGTTTATAGGTTTATTACGAATTGCGGTCCGCGTCGTCGCTGTTGTTTCCGGGACGCGTGCGTGGCTGAAAATCGAGGGGAACCACGGTTTCCCTCGGGTTCTGAGGGTGAATTCGAGCACGTGACGTTACCTCCCGTTCTCGAATTGCCACGCCAGTTTTGTTACACGCGTGGTGTTAAGACACTGGCTCGCAAACATTCGAAAACGATAATTTTCTTTTCATTGTGTGACTCGTTTGTCGGTATATTCAATTGTATTAATTAAATTTACTAGCGAGAGAAATTTGATTGATCGTGTCTAACTTTACCTTCCTCGTTTACCTTCCTCGAGGATATTCGAGGAACGACGTTCAGGAAGACACGAATTATTATAGGTATAATGATGCGCCTGGGTCTCGTTTTACACGGTGGATGCGTAACGTTTCGTCGAAAAGAGAAGAAATACGTAGAGAAAAGTACACGTTGTGGATGAACGATTTTATCTTAAATTGTTCGAGACCGATCAATTATTGTATAGCCAAATATTTTGATACCAGAGTTCGTTGTTTTGAAACGTTTCTTTTTTTTTTTTTTTCGCACAGCAAATAGTTTTACAAGTAAATGGTCACGTGTTACTCGATCAAAATAAACAGTGATATGTATAAAGAGTCACCCTATGTGCAACGTATTAAAATGAAACGAAGATCTGGCGTAAAAATAAAAATGAAAAGTTTCTTGTTTCGTATTTGAAACACGTAGTACGGTATACGCTAAAGATTCGGTCGGTATTTCTGTTGCAGAAATAATGAAGAGAGAAGCTGATGCAGGCGCTATGACAGGTTCCGGAGGACCGACAAGTCCTCACAAGCGTTACAGACAGGGTGACGATGAACTTCGTCTTCTGATCCCCAGCAAGGTAAGATTCCATCAACGTTTCTCTAATCTAATCTTGCGGAGACCAGTTTTCAAATCGAACCGAGATTACCCGCTATTTTTGAGAAAGTCGACATTCGAGCGTCAAAGTTTGGCGGGTCAGAGTTCGCAAGAAGCCGAGAGAAACCATCCAATGTGCTTTCTAATTATTTCAAGTACATTCAGCTTTTAAATGTCTAGTTTTCAAAAAAAATCTGAAAGCCTGACAACTGCAAAGAATTCTCAGTTTTTATTCGATCTCTCGTTGATATAGAATGAAATAAGAATTCGAGTATTCCAGTCAAGATTAATGTTTTTTTTTTCAAGTACAGTGATTTAATAAATAAAATTACCAAGATAATCTAAAAAAATGCGTACTCGTGATCAAAGCTCGCAAGTTTGCGAAATTTCATATTTCAGATCAATGCAATTACAGAACTCTAAATGGAGATTCGTTCTGTTCGTTAAATATCATAATTAGCTGTGGATATTTTATATTTTTGTGCACATTCGGTATATCATTATACTTTGAAATTTTCTATATAAATGTATAAATATTCCATAGTCTATTCACGGTAAAATATGGACGTACGTAGTCGAAAATTAAAATTTCAATAGCTCTTTTTGAAACAAGGAGAACAAACGCAAGGTTCATACAAGTAGTGTATATATCAGTCAAAATATAATTCAAATTTTCTTTCGTCAGAGATTGGTACTTTATTTGAACGAATGTAATGAAATTAAACGTTCATATAGTCGTTCTTCTCGCTTACCTTTCTCGGTAAAAATATGTTTGAAATTTCGAAACAGAAAAGCTTAAGCAGAAATGAGCGAAACATTTATTTTACTTCCGAAATTTGTAAAAAATAAAATTCGTATAGAAATCCTAACAAGAATCCTAGTAACAATCAAATGTCCCTTTGTTAATATTCTCAATCATTTTGACTTAAAGATTTAGCAATTTAACAATTAGTTGATACAAAACGACGATTTTCTACCATTGTGCATTGTCAATTATTATTATTATAGCAAGTTCTCCACTGCTATTAATTTACAAATACGTTTATGAAGTTGCGTTCATCAGGGCATGACAGAAAAATTATTAACCGGATCATCTCCCAGGCTGGAAACTTCCATAATCATAAATTGAACATTAATTGAACATTAATGGAGAGGAATGAATAGAAATTGGTTCAATTTTAATCGATGTAAATTTATTACGATATGTCTCGGCCATTTTCATAATTGAAGATTGACAAAAAGAAACATTGAGTGAAATCAATTCAATTTGAAGATCTAAACAGAACGATCGTGTAGAGTAATGCAAAATTTTAAAATAGAAAATTCTCAAGTAAATAAATCGTCTCGTTTTCTATTGTTAACTTTTCCCCGGTTAACTAGTCGACGCCGACGATTAAAACGTGGCCGGAGGAACTTTCACTTTCACCTTTCGCCGCGACAAATGAAATGCAGCACGATCGCGAGCGATAAGCTTTTCCACGAGATTATTCTCCGCGGTTCAATTTCCAAATAAAGTTCCGCGAAAAGACGGAACCGTTCTTCCAACCAAGTGTTGGTGGTATTTTTCCTACGATCAGATGCGGCTTCGCGTCTGGATGTTTCCAAAGTTTTATGTTCCCACAGTGTGCAGTTTTTTTTCGCGATCGCGTACACACACCGTTGGCGAAGTAAAAGCCGGTCTGTGCCATAACGTGTTGCAATTTCGCGTCGGCACGTTCGCAATCGCGGAACGCCGCCGTTCTTCCGGTCATTGTCGCTGCGCTCGGCGAACCGCTATCGGGTTTCCTTCCGCTTTCTTCCCTTCGGGAAAATTCGCCGGGAAATCCAGACAGGATAGCAGCACCTTGCACGCGAAAGTCTAAGTGTGCTTTCAATTTTTTCAATTATCCTTTACCAAAGAGCTCGGACTGTCTTTCTTCGTTTTTTTAAACTCTTTGAATGCTTCGAATTGTCAAATACATAAAAGTTTAATAAATGTAATAAAGATACAATGAATATAATATAATGAATGTTAATAAAATGAACGTGTATATTTTGAGATGTGTATGACAAAAGTATGTTGCAACGTGTTATCTTATTTGAATCTCTAATAAATAAATCGGTAATTTTATTATTGTTTGTAGACTTTTGTGCATTTGCGGGAAATTTGAAAATTGCTTTGTGCATTTTTTATATAATATAATATGGAAAAACGTAACGACTCAAGAATTTATGTAGTAAAAATGTATTTAATTATATATATATATATATTTAACTACTTTCAATATTTTCTTCATCTTTATATCTTCAACCCTTTGCTATTATTGCATACCTTAAACTATTTTATCCATTATTTCTAGGCTGTTTGATCCTTCGAATTCAATTTGTTTTCAATATTACTGCTTCAATATTACTATCCACTTGCATTTACTTTAAGCTGAAATAGATAAATTAATGTACAACGAAATTCAACGTTCTTTATTATTATTATCATCATTGTATGATTTATCTTTTATAGAGTGGTAATTCCCAAAATTCTTGTACCAAATTTGTGTCACACCTGCATGTTTTCAAAGGATTAAACTTGTAAGCTTTCGGACACCGAGAATTTCACTTTCCTTGCTTCTGATATTAATCTCCGTAGCAGTCGGATAGGCAAAGGGCCAAGGACACAAAAGAAAATCCTGTTCGATATCGCGTTCCGTATCAAGATTCGCCGCGCAATCGCTCGCGTCTTAATAAACCCAGATTACATCTCGAAGAAAGGAGGACGAGCGTGCGTCCCAGCAGGCGATCAAGGCACAAAGGAGCAGCTTCTTTGGTTGGATTTTTTCCCCGTCAATTTCACTGGCAGCCAGTTGGAATCGTTCTCGTTGGGTTCGATCGTGAGTCGGGGAGGGGGATCGGGTCGCGCACCAACGATCCAGCACAATGTCGATTGCGATTGCCGGGGCACGCAATCGAAGACTCCGCGAAAACGGCTGTCGGTGTCAGGGTCGATCGATGGATCGCTCCTTTCGAGAGTGATCTCATTCACCGCGTCGCGTAAGAGTGAACGTAATTATCGCGGCGTTTTCCGCCGTGTCGTGTCGCAATCAGTCCGCTAATCGCTGGAACGTGGCCAGCACGCGGCTCGATCGAGTAACGATCGACCTTCTCCTCGCTGCTCCCATGAAAATCGTACGAAATTGGAGCACGCGCTTGTTCCCACATCCCTGGATGTTGTTGTGTGTGTCGAGGTCGCGGACTTGAGTCGATTTGATTTTATTTCACGCGAGATGCAAGGAACGAAAAAGACGGATAATGTCCATATTCATTTGGAATGATATAGTATAAAATTATTTCTACCCGTTTCTTTCGTCGGGTGTTAATACTTTCTTTGAGCGATTCAGTGTCAGAATTTCGCAGGACAATGAATGGTTTCTCGAAAACGCCGTGAGGACTCGAGTTCGTTCAATCGATATTGCAACATTTATTGTTGAGAGATTTAAGATCGACCGGATATTAACCGGATTCAAAGGTTCGTGCAATATTGTAATATTATAAATATTTTAATTTCTTGAAATTTCGTAAAATCATAGAATCCAGGTGGCAAGCATAATGACGAAAGGACAATCCTTGGAATTTCTTTTTCTCGCAGCCTTCGTGTTAACATTTTAATATACCCAAGAGTTTGGTATATTTGCTCCGCAGTTTTTGCCAGAAATACCTTGAGCCGATATTATATATTTCGGCCTTTTTTTTGTAGCGACCTTATCTTTAAGGAGTGAGTCTTTACGATAAAAAATACCGAAAACCAATTTATATTTTTTATTTTATCTAAATTTTTACGTGACCTGCTCCCACGATGCTTCGTGACGAATATACGTAGAAAAATCGTTTGTAAAACATAAAATTTGATAATGTTAATCAATTGAAAAGACTCGAAGTAGAATAGCAAATAAAATGCAGTATCGATTCTTAATCCTTTTCAATCTTATGTGACTCGATTTTATTCTAATACACTCGGAGACAACATTTTATATTTCCTTATATTACGTATCGTTACGTATCGCGAGAAGCGATCAATATCCTTATTCATGGATTGCCCTACCACGTATTATTATGTCGAACGGCATTTCCGAGAAACGAAAATATAAATATTGTCCGCAGCCGCGAGGCTGACAAGATTGAACGAGTCGAATATTTACGCTCCTCAGTCGTACAGAAACTGTCGAAAGCGTAACATCCGTGTAAATCAGTTAACTGCGTATTAAATGAAGTGCGTATTAATTAAATAAATGGATAAATTGATCATCGATGTATGTGTAGTGTATTGAATGTCATTACCGTGACGCAGGTAAATTACAAATAGAATTGATATTAGAATTTTCCTACGCGAACAGAATTATTAATTTAATTACGAGAGAGTTTAACTTTGCAGTAGATTTTCTTCTGGAATTTCGTATCTGGATATCGTCGGGGGAAAGAAATTCTAATGGAAGGAACGATTGTATGTTACAGGTTGCCGGTTCGATAATCGGCAAGGGTGGCCAGAATATCACCAAACTGAGAAGTCAGGTAAGCCGTTGCTTCTTCCGTTTCCGTCGTTTCCGCTTCCCCCTCGGTCTCGTTCCCCTTTTATCGTTCGTCCACGTTTTCGAGGGACAAGCACGAGAGACAGAAGAAGCCGAGTGAACGTTCCGAAAGGAAAACAATAACGAAACGAATAACGTCAGACAAGAAGATCGTGAGAACGAATTTTCGAACGACGAAACAAAACTGCGGCGGAGTACCTAATCTCGAGGAAGTTCGTCCCTTTTTAGCTGAACCATCATCTAGATGAGACGTTTGATTCTCGACAGAGACATCCATACGTTTCACGAGCTTTTTGCTCCGTTCTCCGTTAATTAATCTCTCGCGCGAATTTCTAGAGGCGACCATGTTAACTAGTATTGTCGATCGATCGAGCTCTCCGACTAGCTGGAATGTTTAGGGAGGCTCCGATGAGTGTATTTCTGAAACGTGTGTGAAAACGAGAATCGTGTTAGCATCGAGGTACAGCGTTTTCTCTCTCTCTCTCTCTCTTTCTCTCTCTGTCTTTCTCTCTCTCTGTCTCTCTTTCTCGAGCGTAGCAGCCCGTTTATATTTTTTTTTTTTTTTAATTATTAGCCAATATCTAGCAGGCTGTTGTTATTCTTCTTATTATTGTTGTTGTTTGTTATTATTATCATTATTGTTATTATTATTATTATATTTTTTTAGAAGGCTTTGAAACCGTTTCCTTTTTACCACAAACCGACAAAAATGATATTGCAGTATATACATACATACACACACACGTACGAAATATCTTCATCACGCATTTTGGTTCTTGAACTGGGAAGTGACACCCTCGTTTCCCGCAGATTTGCGTTCGCTTCACCCGGCGGATGATTTATTTCTTGCCCGGTACAGTCTCTGGGAATCGACGTAGCCGACTGTAACCGATATTAATCGTAAACCGGGGAAACGCGTGGGCGTGAAACTACCATAGCCGACCCTGAACGATTGATTAAAGACGCGGCCGCCGAGTAAAGCCTGTTGCACGCGCCACCCGATCGAAATCCTTTCGATTTCACCTCGAAAGGATTAAATTAACCGTGCAAGGGATACGTCGACTTGTAATACGATGTAAAAAAAAAAAAAAAAAATGAACATGATTGGCAATATTATCGCTCGGCGCGATTTATGATACTTTTCTTTTCAACGAAATTGAATACTCCCGTAACTCTTCAATTTGCGATCCGGCCGAGCACGTAACAGGCATTACACTCGCGAGTTTCTCGATCGATTTCTTGCGTAACGCCGATTGTTCGCCTCGGTGTTCTTCTTTTCTTTTCTTTTCTTTTTTTTTTTTTTTTTTTTTTTTTTTTTTTTCTTTTTTTCTCTTCCACCAACCTTGAGACGCCGACGAGGCTCACCCTGCGCGCGAACCAGAAGATCGGAGGCGATGGTTCGCAACTTCGTGTTACTTGGCGCGCGATGAACCAAGCCTGGAATCGACAGTTTCACAGAGTTGTGAAACGTTTTCATATTGCGCGTACATCTCGGCGAGTTTCGTCGCTCTTGCACGATTACAAGCGAACGAGGATCTCGATCTCTCTTGCGTCGCGTTCGAGTCCGTGATTCGGTGATCATATGCTCATCGAAATCAGCGATGCACGCAGATCGGGCACACGTTTTCGCGCCCGTGAGTTTTCGTACACAGGGAGCAGCGAATGTTGGCCAATGCCAAGTCAGTTTCACGCGACGAAACGTGCAAATGCCGAGAACTCGCGGACTCAGGGACAAAATAGAGTGGATTCGGTTTGATCCGATTGGATGTCGAGCGTTACGCGCGTTCTTTGCTGTCTTTTCGAAAGAGACCACGGAGGAATCTGATAGTGACCCTTGGGCAAATAATTTCCGATCAAACGCGAATATTCGAGAGTGTTTAGAAACATTCAGAGATCTTTCGAGTAAGAAAATTCAATTGAAATCGTTAATTCCACCTTCCTATGTATCTCAAACGAATAAAGTAATATTTTACACCTAAAAGATTTCAATGTTTTTGAAATACTTTCAGATATTTGGGTTTGATCGAAATTTCTTTTTGACAGGGGATAATTACAAGTTTCACGTAAATTGTTCTTCGTTGCTGTTAACATTAAGATGCACAGTACAGAAGAAACATTAGAGAAACGTTTTGCGCTATTATCGATAATTGAAACAGTTTATCAAAGTTTGTCAAATATTTTTTATTTGCTGCAACAAGAGACGTTCGTTGATTCAGTTTCGTTTTTGTGATAAAATGAATCGGTAAACACATATACCAAGCTATTTTATGGAGCAGTTAATTGGATGCAGACAAAAATATCTCGTTTTCTACAAGAAGCTATTTTATTTCGACACGGTCCTAACACGCAGTAAAAAGTGTTTAAAATTAGATCAAACGTTCGATTCAGATCAAACAGTTTCGCTCTCAGTTCGGATACTATGGAAATTTTTAAAGTAAAAAGTACAAGTACGAACATCCATAATTTAAATATAATTTAAATATTTATTTAATAATAAAAATAATTATTTAAGTCACCTTATTTGACTTGAATATAATCTCGAAATAATCTTATGTTAGTGCTGACGAATAAAGTAATTTTTTACTTTTATGTTGTATCTTGTATTTGTTTCTTTTAGACTGTAAATGCTTTTGTATTTTGGGGAAATTTATATTTCCGAAAATCTATAAAATCTACATGTACAATAGCATATTATGTCAAGCAGAACATCGTTGACGTTATTTACATTTACAATTTCGATTTCTTTCATTATATTCACAAAAATATACACAAACATTCGCGGTCTAGTTTTATTTTAATAACTTCGCTCGAATAAAATGTCTGATTTAGACACAAGATAAAGTTACCTTACTCGAGTGAAAAACTTTGATTGCAGAAAACAAAACTGGATCAATGAATATTTCTTGTTCACAGAGCAACGGAGAGGAAGATGAAGAAAATTGTTTCTACTATGTTCGTTCATTTGCGTATCTTACGTATCATCAATGGTAACAAGAACGGATTTACATACATAAAATCCGTGGTTGAAGTAGTTATGTCCTTCGTTGCAGTTATCTCCAACGTGCCAACGAGTTTAGGACCACACACAGAAAGCATCTCGAGCGAATCGAACTGTAAAAAAAAAAAAAAAAAAAAAAAAAAGAAAAAAAAAACATCGGCATCCTGACGACTAATTCCGAGCGTTGCTGATGTGAACGCGAAAAATTAACCAACCGCGAATCAGCCCTCGTCTTCGCTCGATCTTGTCCCTGGTCGCACTTATAATCGTGCCAGAGGCGGTTCGTTCGTATTTGAGCTCGCGTGCTCGTCGTGACGCGGCTTTCTGCGTGACCCGAAAAGGTGGAAGGCCAGGAGGTGGGCAACCTCCGAGGAGCGAGAGAAAGAAAAAAAGGAAAAAGAATCTCCGGGGATAATCGCGTTTCGCCCGGGAAACATTTTTACCGTCGGTTCGACGAGTATCCGCCGCTAGTTGTTTGCGTCCCCTTTGCGGCGAGTTCCCCGCAGCGTGTATCCCTCGTTAAACGAACGGGGGAATCTTATGCTCCAACTACGTCAGCCGGTTTCGAACCGGTTGACGACCACCTCGAGGACGAAAATTTCGCCAAGTTCGCTAACAAGGCGAAAGAGAAATATTTGCAAGCGGCCGTTTCTTCGAGTGGTACGTTCAACCTTTGCTTACGATTGTCTGTTTTTTTTCTTTTTTATCTATTTCTCGATCCCAGACTTCTCTCCAGTCGAGGTTATTAACACTTGTTAACTCGAACGCGCAGACTGACCGACTCGTAATTGTGAAGCTCAAAAAAAAAAAAAAAAAAGAGTGAGAATCATCGTGGAAACGTACGACAATTATTAAAAACTTCCTCTAATTAGCCACGCGCGAGCGACTTCGTCGTTGACGAAGCATTCGAGGTTCAGCCGGTTAAGTGTCGATTAAACGAAAAGCGAAATGAGAAAAGAGAACGAAAAGGTGAAAACGAGGGAGAAGAGGGAGGTCGAGGAAAAGAGCAGCGAACGAATATTTAGATTCTGGATATTAGTTGATTCACCGTGAATAATGTGATTACCATTTCTTCCATTTCTCCCCCGTCGAAGATCGCGAGACCGTCAACTCGTTTCTCGAACTGAGACTTCGTACTTCGTTAGCGTGGCCAAAAATTTTCGTTAGGCTAGGTTTCTGGTTGCAGCGTTGTGCTATCAGAACGTACGAGTACCACTCGTTTTCTCCTATCTTGCAAATATTTCTCCGATCGAGCGCGGCGATCTCGAAGAGGAGAGCGAAGACGAAACGGATTTAGAAAATGGGGAGGATTTTCGAGAAGAATCACGGGGTGGGTGGTAGTTAGGTTGTTGCACGAACGTAATCCGTGCTACGCTGAGAACGTAGAACGGTAGGTGACAAATGTGGAAAGGGGTTAGAAGATTAAGCCGCGAAAATTAATCGAACCGTGAGAGACGTGATGTCTAACTTGGTTGATGATTTGTGCCCTGGCCCCGCCCCAACCCCGGCGTTGCCCCCCTGGTGTTGCCCTGCCGTTGCCCTGCCGTTGCCCTGCCCGGAACGACGGACCCTGACTCGATCGGCAAATGGACCACCCTACCAACAATCGACAACAACCACCAACCAACCACCAATGAACCAACCACCAACCACCACGGCCCGACAGTACAAAGCCTCAATCATTGTACCCGATTGCCCCGGACCCGAACGGTAATGACCAACACCACTACTTAATGTCTTATTTTTCTTTGTCTCTCTAATTACAAGAAATACCTAAATGACAGCGACACATGGATCGCTGTGCTGTTTTTTTTTTTTTTTTTTTTTTTTTTTTTTTTTTTTCTCTTCTTCGAACGACAGCGACGTTCTTTCTATTGATGATTCTTTTTTTCTTTATCTGTCTGTCTTGTCTGTCTGTCTATCTAGCTATCTATCTGTCTGTCTGTCTGTCTGTCTATCTGTCTGTCTGTCTGTCTGTCTGTCTATCTGCCTCTATCTATCTATTTGTCTTCTCTCACACGATCACTTTCTACTTCTTTCCTCCCTTCTTTCTCTGCAATACTCTGCAATACTCTTCCTCTTCGACACAGTCTTTTGTCAGTTACGTCAGTTTCTCCTTCACCCTTCTTCTTCGTTTTTCTCCGTTTTCCTGAATCTTTTTTCTTTTTCACATTCGTTCCTCCGTTCGTTTCGCCACTCTCGGCCTTGTACGTATGTACGTACGTACGTACGTGTCCTCGGCCAGCGTCTCCGACCAACATCATTGCGCGATGATTCATCGCACCGGGAGCGAAAAAGCCGAGTCTGTGCGAGCTTTTGTACGAGGGACACGCGTGACACAACCCTGGGCACACGGTGCTCGTGACTGCACCTGCCGTTCCACTATCCTGTCGCTCTCTGTCACTCCCATTTAGATCTCCTTTCGGGCATTGTCTCGGGGCCCTCTCTGTCTCTTCGCGTCCTGAATTCTACCACCTCTTTCTGTCTTCACATCCACCGTGACCTTCGAAGCTTTCCATTCTTTCCACGGCAAGAGTGAATCGAAGGTCCATTGCGAGAGCGGAGCGAGCACTCCTCCCGCTTGCTGCTTCTTTGTTAGCCCTGACTTTACAGTCCGCGACAAAGAAACAGCACACCCAGTGTTTTTGTCAATTATTATTTAACAAATCACAAAAGTATAATTTTACGTATGTATTGTATTACATATGCAATCTAATTTTACATAGATACTGTATGCCAATTTCTGCAGTCCTCATTTGATCTGTAGAAACAATGGAATCCTGGAAAATCGGCGCGACAAATTAATAGCACAGTATTTTTAAAAACCAATTTCTGTTTATATTTGTCAAGAAAAATCAATAGTTAATATTTTGTAGAGTCTCCAGACTTTTTTTGTAATTGCCATCGTTCGCCTCGGAAGCGATTTATAAAGTTTTTTAATTCGCACCAATTTTTCAGAATTCCTTTGCTTTTACAGATGAAACGCCTCATGGTTTTATACGTTGCAGAAATTGACACACAATACCTGTATATACGTTAAAATTATATTTTTGCAATTTATTAAACAATTAACAATAAACACTGGTTGTGCTATTTTTTTCTCTCTCTCCTTTTTCTGTTCTCGTTAGGAATCCTCCTCGTGAGTTATTAACATTTAAGAGCAACGTCCGTTTTATTGGGAATTGCGACGATTGTTAGAAACAGATATAGTTAGCCAGAGAAAATGCGTCTTTAAATGCAGCACAATTTCAGCCAGAAGACACCGTCGTCCTGCTTTGCGAATTCAAGATTCGTCACGATGACGAGCAAAAGCACTCTCCGAACGAAGGAGACGCGGTGTCTTTCTGCTTCTCGATCCGCGATACTTCTCTTACCTTGATTCCCCATTCCTTTGAATCTACTCTCAATCCCTGTCTCTCTCTCTCTCTCTCTCTCTCTTTCTCTGTATTGCCATTTTCTCTGCCCTTCCGCCTCTCTGTACATCTGTTCGATCTGTCTCCACTTTCGTTCGTTTCCGTTCATCTCGCGTGCGCGGACAAAACACGTCCGATAAGCATTACACAGCGCTCCGAAATCTACACCTCGTGATCTGATTACGCCGAGGGAAATGTAATTGTGTACATCGTGTTGTCTCTCTCTCTCTCTTTCTCTTTTTCTCTCTTTCTGTCTGTCTGTCTATCTCTTCTTTTCCTGTTTCTCTCTCTCTCTCTCTCTCTCTCTCTCTCTCTCTCCTATTCTTTGTCTCTAATTTTTGTGGCTAACACGGATGCTAATCCGTGGAACGAGGCGGTGATCCTGCCGATTCCACGCTTAACGTCGATATGTCACGCTTACTTTTTAGGTACGTCCCACTGATCAACGCACCACTGACCATCATCGTCCTGGCAGAGATTTGCCGCTGTGATTAATTTAATTTGACAGAATTCGCCCGCCCGCGAGTCGAAAGTCATTACCGACCTGCTCTGTGACCCGCGTGTGTCTCGACCTCGATCGCGACCCTTTTGTTGCTGGACTCGTTTCGTTGCCTATACTTGCCAGCTCGTTGAAAGTTCTCTCTCGTTTCCCTTGTTAGGTAAAAATCGGACGATGTGTCTAAATCATGTGTTTCTTATTCTGCGATCCGTGAGATCTTCGAAAAAGACTGATCTGGACACATTTTCATTTCGAGATATATTATTCGAATAATATCCAAGCTTGAGAGAAAGGACTGTTAGACGTGAGTATATTTGAACAGTTCAAGATTATTGCAGGTAGATATATAAAATATAATTCAAATAAATTCTAATATCAGCTATAAATTGAACATGACTGAAGCTTAATTTTGTAGAGACATCTCAATTTTAAGAGTTATTATATGAAATGCGTGCCCGTTTTAGTCAAAAAGTTTATATAAATTTTATGAAGTGTCAATCGTTTATTATAAATAAATATGAAACTTGAATAAATACAGGTTAGATTTAGCATTTTTATAACTTGCTCAATTATAGTAACATGTAGAAAATTAACAGTAGACTGTTCATTGATCTGAACTATAAAAGGGAAAAGAATATCAATCTTTTCTTCAAAGAGAATTACATCAAGTGTTCAATTATTTATGCTCGATAGTATACGTTTTGGAAATCCGCGACAGCAAAGAATTATTCAATATAATTTATAATTTGTAATATTATATAAGAATTATTTAATATTTGTTACCGTAATAAACGGAAAGATTAAGAAACGCTGATCTAGATGCTTGTTAGAGATCGACGAATTTCGCTCAAACGAAGTATTTTCTTAAACGATAAGACAGCAACGAAAGAGTTCAAGATACTACGAGATTAATGCTTATGTAACGAACGCGGCTTCCATTCGCAGTCAACACACTTAACAATGCGATTATTAAAACGATTCAGCGTGAAATACGAAGCACCTCACGAGAATGGTAGATACAATCGAGCGTGTTTGAGAAATTAAGTTAGAAATAGAAAAAAAAAATTGCTTTCGGATTGTAAAGTTTGACGTACTTATAGTATTGCTTTTAAAGTAGTCACGAGTATTACCATCACTTCTTCTTCTTCTTTTTTTTTCTTTTTTTCATTAAAAAAATTGCAAGCAATTGTGATATCCATTGTCAATTTCGTGGGAACAATGTTCAATGGCGTATAGCGATCTACGGCTGTCAAATCATGTTTATTATCCGTATTTTAAATATTCTCGAGGCTGCTTTCAACAACTGCTTTCTGCCCGCAATTTCAATATTTACTTTAAGTACTTTTAACAATTTAATACCCGAGAGTTTCAACGAGGCCTCCGCACATTTTGTTGTCTCTCTCCTCGTTCTCTTTAATCGAAAGTTCTTAGTAATTTCTTATCAACTTCGGTGCCTGATTTATGCAGAGTAGATTTATCGTCGCTTGTAATTCCACGTTGCTCGGACCTGCGATTACTAGTTAAATTCCATCCATAATTTTCGTGGCAACAAATAATCATTAATTATTTATGATCGAGGAATATTAACGTCGCTTTAAAATGCGCATTGACAGCCTCGTAACACGTAGACCAACGGAATTATTAACCGAGCTCGAGCCTCGCTCGTTTTAGAATCCATACACGAACAATTGATTTCATTGTAAGCATTTCAGCCGATAAATGAAATAAAATTCGTCGTATACAACTACGTCGTCGAAAATTATCACAGAAATGTGTCGTAACGTTGGGCAAAATGTACAAATGATAATCGGACAGTGTTTGATCTCTACCACTCTCCTAAAAAGTCGCGAAGAAAAAAAAGAGAAAAAGAGAGAAAAGAAAATGGAAAGAAGCAAGCCCGAAATCCAGATTAGACCTAATCAGCTAGACTGTGTCTATCCACATTTGTACGCGTCAATTGCAGATCAATCGGGCAGGAATGTTTCGATCTCAAACGATTCCAAACGCGAGGGACAGTTCTCTCTTTTTTTTTCCCCTCTTGCTCTGGTAGACGTAACAGGTTCCAACGGAATGACCAGTCAACGCAATTCTTTCATTCCATCCATCGATCGATGCACATACGTAGATCCCACTCACGGCGAAAGCCTTGCGATCAAAGCTTCTTTCCACCAAAGACGAGATGTAGTTCCTCCCTCTTTTTTTTTCCTTCATTTTTTTTTTTAAATCCTTTTTTTCTTAGAGAAGCTTTTAGTCTTTTTTTTTTTTGGTAGAGAAGCTGTGGGGTTATCCGTCGATGAGCTTTCGTTTTCCAGGCGATGACTTTCGACCGGTATATGCACTTTATCTAATATTCTCCGGTTCGTGAACGTCGAAACGATTGTGTGTGACTGCTGAAAGAAAATTGGGCGAAATATCGCGCACCAGGGAGAGAAGTAGCTAGTGACGGCCGTTTTCACGGTATCAGACGGTTTGCTGGCTAACGAAACCGTTCCCTCGCGATCGTGTTATAGTATCGAGCGATCTCGTGTCTGGTGTGATCACGAGACGGCCGCCCGTTACGTAGGAGAAAAGCGCATGATTAACCCTCGACTAGTAGGGTGAACGTTAGTTCTGTTCCCATAATTGGTAGGGTGGGATCAATTCGACGGAAAGAGAGGAAGGAAAAAAAAAAAAAATACCAGCTGCGCGATACAAATCGAGTCACGCGACGGAGACAAGTCGTGCGTAGGTATACTTTTGCTTGAAGCTGCTGTTGTCGATTTGAAATATACGCCGATCCAAAAGGGAAAAAGAGCGCTTTTTTGTTTCCTCGATTTTGGAATTTAAACGCCAGCTCACGATGAAATCATCGATCACAGTAAATTTGCAAGTTGAGTAGACGATTATTGTTCAGTTTCTGAGATACTGCCTGTGGCAAAATGTTCTCGATCAAACGCGAGTGGTTGAAACCATTGAAATCCTTCGTATTCACAGATTCAGATGCCAATTGCTTTATTTTCTCACGTGTTGCAAATAAATGCAATTACATTTTGTAGTTCAAATGTTTCAATGGTTTTGAATATGTTTCGACTTGTTCGTGTTTGATCGAAAACCTTTTACTAGGGGTGCGTGAAGGGTGAAAGAAACTCATATCCATTAACGCGATCTTGGTTGGTTGTAACTTAAAAAACTGTTTCCAGAGAATTTTACCTGCTCATTGGAGGCAGGATTTTCGATTTTCAGAATTTAAAATTATGAACATTTCCAGTAGAGTATAATTTACAAACATACAGCTTTCTCTTGCACTATCATCTAAACATCGAAGTTCGAATATTCTTTTTTATCATCTTTATTTCCTTTCTTCTTGAAATTTATAGTAATATTTCATTTTTCCGTACTATTCTTGAAATTTGTATCAAACGTAAAGAAGTAAAATTCAATAATTATTATATACGTAATGTGTATATAATGAAAGAGTTGATAAACAATAATTTAAATCGAAAATATGAATTTTTGAAAAACCAAGTTGAAATTCGTCCTTAACGTTCGACGACAGAATTCTTGTGTACAAGTTTTTAAATTATCTCCGATATGTGAATCACTTTGAAACGTAAGAACTGACGTATTAATGGATATTTTTTTTTATCTCGGAAACCAATAGTCGGCTGAACTTAAAAATTTTCTGTTATTGATGCTTCATTCGTAAGCTATTATATTATTTGATGTCAAAGTCGATCCTAAAATCGAAGGATCAAGAATGTCTCGCTGTTCTGTCTCATAATTCGACGAAATTTTAACAATTAATAATTCTTTTTCTAACAAGATTTTTTTGTAATTTGTAAAGAATCTAATCACGTTCAGGTATGAATCGGGCCGTCTTCGCGTGATTCACTCTGTATCGTATTTCTTTCTCGCCGTACGTGTGACTACCAGAACTAACGCTGGATTAACTTCTCATTATAAAAATCGTCTCTAAAAATCGGAAAGAAAAAAGAGAGCTTAGAAAGATCATCACTAAACAACGTGCCGTTCTGTCATTCAACATCATTCCGTTTGCCTGAGTTGAGATTAAACGTGCATTCACGCTTCGGCCAAAGCAAAACAGGTGAAGCGTCAGCTTCCGCGAGGAACATACTCGTTGCTCGTTCTAACTCCACCCTACCAGTTGATGGTTAACATTAACAAACAATCACGCGACGATCGAAGGAACGCCGTTCGTAAGAGCTTTGTCCTCTTGCGACACGTGAGCGCGTAGAATCGATCTCCGAAAGCTTCGGTTTTGCCGAAGGAGGATCGGAAAGGAGAGTGCAATTGAAAAAGCAACGGCACAACAGAATACATCGAATGAACAATATCGATGTTTAACATATTTTCACAGAGTTATTATGAGAGTTTTTCTTCTCTCTTTTTCTTTTTTTTTTTTATTTTTTGTTTCTCATTACGTGTCAGGATGGTCAGTAAATTCACGAATCGAAAAGATCTCGTTAAATGATTCAACGTGTAGCGCACGGTACAACTGGGGATTGACTTCCACGTTCGCCGTGAACACAGAGAAGTTTTCCTTCGAAACGAAGTTTCCTCCAAACGAAGATTGAAATCTCTAATCTCGGGGCAATTCTTCCTCGGTACGTTAATCCCGGCTTCTGGACCCGATGGTGAATTTACTGTCCATCCGGTGGATATCGATGTTTCCCGAAGGAAACAAATCCGCGGACCGTGGGAATTGATTCATTCGATACGTACGCAGTTTCTTCCGGTATTTCATTCAAGCACCACCTGAATATATTACTGTGTCCGCGGTTAATCGAATCGTGTCGAACGAAACCGCATTTCCTTCCACGAGGCGGCGGCGGCGGTAGCAAGTGAGTCGTGCGGCGCACGTTTCTTCACGCGTGGAATTCCGACTTTCGGGAAGTCAATCGCGACGATCGATCGAGCGGTGAAAAGCTGCTGAAAAAATCCGGTTTACGATCGGGGGAAATACGATCCGGAGTCTGCTCACGAACGAGATGGAACAGTCGGGGATTCGCGCGGCGTATGAAAAATCCTCTCCCGGTCTCTCACCGATATCGTCGATCGACACCACGAGAGGCATTGAACTTCCCCCGTTTCTTTGTGGCCAAAGTAGGTCCGCTCCGTAACGCGTCCTGTCCCGCGATATCGATCGGCGAGTAAAACGCGCGATTTCTGAGCAATTCCTCACGGATTCAAAAAAGAAGAGAGACGAAGATGCTGGTTGATTTGCGTACGGCGTCGTTTCCGAAGTTTCGTAAAGTTTTCTCGTAGCTTCTCCATGTTTCACTCGCCGAGAGGCGGTCGATCGTTCGCGAATGAAACGTGCCACGCGAATTTCGCTCGTGGATGAAGGCCGGGGGAATCCCGACGATCGCGAGATTTAAAAAATCGTGCGTGAAAAACGCGATCGATAAACGCGAGGAAAAACGGAATCGTTTCGGATGATGGATCGAAATGTAAGAAACATGTTGATTTCGGGCAACGAGATGGGTTTCTAAAACTGATTGGTCTGGGAATTCAGTCCGTGTTCGAGTTCCCTCTCGAGCGCGGCTCGCACATTCCGCGGCTAATTTTCTGCGGAAGGGGATGAAATTTCGCCATCGACACGATTCGATCAGGAAGGGCAAACGTGTGTAGCACGTAATATCATCGTATACGGCTCGGACGAGGATCGGAGTAATTGTTGGAGTGTTTTTGATTCTAGGGTGCTTACTATCAGCTCGGATCTGCCCACCGTTCTTCAAGTATTGAACGAGGTCGTACCTAATCTCGAGGAGGTGAGTGTTGCTACCAGAAGAGGATCACACGGGAAAAGAAATGACTCAATCGTGAGACTTTTCACATGTATTTTCTTACTTTAGTAGAAACTTGTTAAGCCAGTAGAGTTCGAGTCGTACGACGCGGTTTGGTCCGGTGACTTATTAGCACCATGATCGATCATCGATCTCCTGCCGTCATTGGCAGTGTCTGGCTTAATTTTGTCCTCTGATTGTTACATTGGACACTGGGTGCTAATTAGTACACTGCTCCAGCATTACAGGGTGTCCTACAATGCAAGCAAGTGCATTCAACAGCTGCGTGAATGCATTCATAGAGATCTTAGATATAATTTAAAACCAACGTCGTCGAATATTTTGTCGTGTACCGCTTGTGTGGTACACCCTGGCGCAATACACATAGAAACGGTGTTCTCGGTTAGAAATGAACGATAAACAGAACGGCGATGGTTTCTGAGCCGCGTTTTCGAAGAACGTACAGCGCTATGAATATTTACCAGCTGTTCCAAGAACCGCTGTTACCGTGAATCCCGAGATTATGGCGCAGCGCATGTGTACGGTGAACATTCTCGCGGCGCGACTCGGAATTTCTCACTGCCGTTCCAAACACGTAGGGCAAAGGAGCAAGGGAAGTCAGGGTAAAAGAAAGAAAACAAATGTGAAAGACGCTTGACTTTGTCTATCTAGCGAGCGAAATCGTTCGTCAGTTAGTGGCGAAGACACTGCGTAGCGAGAAATCCGCGTTTGTGATCTAACCGGATAGGAGATTGAATCCAGAAAATGATTTCAGAATGGATCTCGACACGGCAGCGACGAGATCGACGTGCGCATGCTGGTGCATCAGAGCCAAGCTGGATGCATAATCGGCAAGGGAGGTCTAAAGATCAAGGAGCTTCGCGAGGTGAGTCATAGACGTTCATACGCTATTAACGCTGTCCAAACGCGGCTGTCATTCGGTTTTACGATTGTCACGTTCGACTTCGTGCCAAGGCCTCGGCGTTTAACGTGCTCGTCCGACGAATTTAACGTCCTCCCGACGATGTTTTACACGATCCCCTTATTAATGCGTCGCATTTGCGCGCCAGCGTCGAAACGCTTTGAAACTTGTTTCCGTTTCCGTTATTTTTGGCCGTGGGCACTTTCGATATCTTGCTCTCGCATTGATACTATTCGCCTTCCGGATGATAGTCTGGTCTCCATAGGAAGGCACACACACTGAGAGTTTTAACAGTCGAACTACCGACGACTAAAATGTCCATCAGAGACGTTTAAAATAAAAAAAAAAAAAAAAAAAAAAAAAAATAGTGAAACTTCATAACGCAGTAGAGTACGCAAGCTGTTTCACGTGTATATAATATTTAACAAAAATTATAAATTGGTCATTTTTTGGTAGTTCTAGCATTAAAGATAATTCGAGGATTTAACTTACGCAATAGAGAGTAGAAGATTTAGATTAATAAAAATTGGTCATTTTGACCATTTTAGTAGTTTTACTGTTAAAGACAATCCGAAAACTTACACAATAGAGAATAGATTAAGTTAGGTTAACAAAAATGATAAATTGGTCATTTTGACCATTTTGATAGTTCTGGCATTAAAGATAATTCGAAGATTTAACTTACGCAATAGAGAGTAGAAGATTTAGGTTAATAAAAATTGGTCATTTTAATCATTTTAGTAGTTCTACTGTTAAAGATAATCCGAAAATTTAACTTACACAATAGAGAATAGAAGGTTTAGATTAGGTTAGGTTAACAAAAGAATGATAAATTGACCATTTTGATGGTTCTACTGTTAAAGATAATTCGAAGATTTAACTTACGCAATAGAGAGAGGATTTAGATTAATAAAAATTGGTCATTTTGACCATTTTAGTAGTTTT